ATTTTTAACATTTCCTGCGGGTCCCAGCGGCTGTCAAAAGATGTAATGGTTGTCGTTTGTTCCTTATTGGGCCTCATGACCCCACGCGTAACTGCTATATCTTACATCGTTTAAACCTTCGAAGAATATAATTCATCCATGTAATATTTACACACTGCTTCTCCGTTACAGGAATCAATTTATTGATAACATTTAGATAAATATCAGCTGCTTAATCTGAGAATCATATGAAACACATAAATGAAGAGATTTTTAATGTTAAAGCAGGTGGTAAAAACACAACTGCTTGAAAGGGTTAACATCTGTAGATGTAAAACGTGGACGAAACGTCTGTGGACATATAAAAAGTGTGGGACGAATTGTTCATTGGCCAAAAACTGTAGTCGAAACATTCTGGAAGCCGTTAAATTATAAAAATCACGTCTGTGTGAGGGTGGTAGCCATTCTCAGCTGTTAAGTCTCACCCCCTCATTAGCAGGGTGGATTGTTTCCCTGACAGACACATCTGTCCGTTACTAATAGAGATACTCACCACGTGTCTTCCCAAACAACTTTTCACAGCTTTAGGGGGTGAGGTGGGCCACGGTGTTGTCAGAATGCCAGTGAAACAGGAGGGCACATTTCTCGAACGCATTATTATTATTACTAATTTCACACGCGCGCGGATCTGATCAATACTTATGACGGACATATCATCACCAGGACTCGGCAAACACACTAGTCACATCGTCGGTTGCGAGTGAAAAATTTGGGCCGATGAGTTTCGTCCGTGACGAATGAAAATCAAGGCCGATGAGTGTCGTCTGTGCCGAATGAAGAATCAAGACCGACGAGTGTCGCATATGATGAGTGAAAAATCAAGGCCGACGAGTGTCGCATGTGATGAGCTAAAAATCAAGACCTATGAATGTCGCATGTGACGAGTGAAAAATCAAGACCGACGAGTATCCAGAATTAATTCCAAAACTATGAATCTTTTTCATTTAACCAACTTGACAATAGCAACTGAACTACATAAATCACTGAGTTCCTCACAACACTTTTCATAAAGGCTAACAGAGAATAAAATTCATACAAAATAGTTGAAGCGTCATTATCACAACTGCACAAGCTTGTAACAAACTGTATTTATCTCCAGTTTCTCGAACAACCAGGCCACAGCGCTTGTCAGTCCATTCACACGAACCCATTAATTCTTCCTTAGCCAGGAATCAAACCTTGGTCACTGAGTTCCCAGCCAGTCATTCCATACACAGAACTATTCCGGTTTCCCTACATATAACACATAAAGGTAAAGGTAGAGCTGTCCCTGTGCCTAATTAAGCAGCACACCAAAAAGAAAAAAGTTTGGGAAGGGGAGGTGTATCTCCACCATTCTTGACCTCGGCATTAGATGACGGTGAGTGGTTAGCTTCACGCCCCAGCCACTTTACCCATGGTACCCATTGGACAAGAGGCTGGGTCGGTCTCAGAGCCGGTCCAGATGATACGGAATAAGGAAAAATCCCTTGCCTCTGCTGGGAACCAAGCCCCAGCTGTTCAGCTTGTAGCCATACCAACTGAGCTATCCTCGCTCCCATATATAACAAAGTTATACATTTGTACTGGAAACTGTGTACAAAGTGAGTTCGAAGCAATACAACTCTTCTGTGTTACTCAATAAATTAGACACAGCAGAATGATAAAACTGAAATCATTTCCATAATTTCAGGCATGACTCCAGACAGATGACTGCTCCAGGATATCATTCCCCACCCCCAGTTTCCAGTACTTCATATAACCATTTCAGAAACAACCTTCCCTCTCACTTAAATAAAATGTTCCTACATCTGACCACAAATCAAACCAGATGTTCTCTGACGCACCCCCCTGCTACACAAATCTAATAACTACCCCCAACTCCTCTGCTTCCTGATGATAAGGGCTGGTTGCTCTGGAAGGCAAGAAATCAATCATTTACACCCAAGTACACACCCCCCAAAGCCAACTGGTTCTGTAGATTAATTGCTGATGACATGAGGAGTGTAGGCTACATCATGACCAGACTCTCCAACACAGCACAGTAAGTCCTCCACATGCAGTCTTCATACTACACTGTTCGTGCAGAAGACAACTCTTCATAACCACCTCAACTCCTACAAATAAAGTACTTACTTACATGCTACAATATCCCTTATTAAGAAGTCATGACTGTTCCTACTCTTGCAAAGTCTACAAGTTCATCAGCCTGTTCACAATACACTACCAGTGGACCCTATCTTGGGCCAGACAAATCCAGTCCACCTCGTCACATTCCATTTCACTGACATCCATTTTAATATTATTCTCTACAACTCCTAAGTGATCTCTTCTCTTGATTTTTCCCAACCAATATTTTGTCATCATCATCATCAGTAATCTGTCAGACGACAGGTCCACAGTCTCTTCCAAAACAATTCCTCCACTTAATGCGATCTAGAGATTTCTCCTTCAAATGACAGTATCCTCTTCTGTCCCCAAGGTCATCCAGCATCTTCTTGCGTCTTCTTCCTCGTCTTCTTGTCACTTCTATCCGCCCCTCTATCTTTCCTTCAATAACTTCT